GAAAAATATCCCCTGCAACCTTATTAAACTCATAGCGAAACATATATATGAACACCAGATGAAAGTATAACACATAACGAACAAATTCCAAGCATGTGGCAAACAGGTCAAGGAATAAGACAAGTAGACTCCCTCAGACCAATACTCTTCAACCTGGTAATGAACACATCCTTAAACAATCTTCGAACAAAAAGGATATTACTTCGGCCTCTTGTAACATAAACTCATGTTATGCAGACGAGACAGTCTAATTGCCGAAAAGCGAAGATGATTTACAACGCCTGCCTGTTTTCAATTCTACAAGACAAGCCAGTCATTCAACACAAGATATCCACACACAAAACTAATGCCATTAACCAATCTGAAGAGCCATTGAGCTGCAACTAGCCTATAAACGAATACTATAGAGCAAGTGATGGAATCAATTCTAGGCGATAACAATAACTAGTGATGGCCAATCTATAATAGGCTAAGGACACAAGCATAAAAGGCAAATAGAATAGCAGGCCTTTCTCAACCACTCGATATGGAAATGCAGGTATCTAAGAAAAGACACTAAAATTAGAGTATATAAGCAGTAATTAGACAGTATTGTCATTTAGCTGAAACGAGAGCAGCTCAAAAAAATATGCCAAATGATGGAAGTGTCGGAAATGCGGGGTGCTGAGAAAAATTACAAATAAAAACGCTAAGGGATAAAGAACCTAATGTAAGACAAACTTGCCAAATAGATATAATCTCGGACTGGTTCGAGAAAGAAGAAAGAAATCGAATGACCATATAGACCAAGGAATTATGACAGACTGGTGAAAGGACCGGAGTCATAGAACCGGAAGGAAGGAGAAGAGTAGGAACGTCAAGAACTAGGTGGAAAGACATTTTGTGAAACAAGACAAGCATGAATTAGTGCCACTCTATAAAGATGAGCTACATAAATGTAATGTATAAGGGTTTTTTAAAATTTTAATAAGTTACCTTTGTTAAAAGAACAGGCTCTAGCCTAAATAAAAGTAAGAAGAAGAATAAAGACCTAATGGCCAAACGATTGTCATGCGTAAGATGTGGGATAGAAAAACTACTGAGCGGTTAAATGAAACAGATATTGCGGTTTTTAACCCAATATTACGTACATATTACTAAGTGAGAAAGTACGTGTGTTGTAAGCATCACTTCTCTTTTATATGTTCCTCTCTAAAATGCCGAAGAGAGCGTAAGCAGTCTAGGTATCAAGAAGTTTTCAAGCACAAATGCCAAACATTCGATGATGAAGTTGTTTTGATTTTTCACGAAGAGTTGTTTTGCGCAGATATCGACTTTGAAGAACATCTATACATTATTGGAAAAAATAATGATCGGTGACGTGGTTTGAAATTTTCGTTCTGCTGCACTCCTTCTCATTTATTAAACACAATGTAAAATAAAGAAAATAACGATTGTGAATTCACAATAGTCGCTGCAGAAGACACTGAAGTTCTGTCCATTCTCTCATGTAAAAACGCGCCGAGTTACAGCGCCGATAGTCAGCTTACGTCTTGAGCAATTTCAAAACGGAACGAGGTGTATAAATGCTGCAAACGAAAATTAGAGTAAAGGAAAGCACACAAACTACCGAAATTGCAAATGGGTTATGAGGCCATACACTAATTAAAAATATTTCACCAATAAGAATTTTCCTCCTTAGAGGTCCACGATGAAACAAAATCATTAATTTTACAAATAATTTTTTTTATCTTTGAACTAAGCGAGTTAAAAAAAACAATAATTATGGAAATGGCTCACTGTGCTTCACCTGGGCAAGTTTTGGAAAAAATATGAAATGAAAGACTACGACATACTAACAATATGATAAGTCACTTATTGTGTGAGTACACACACTGCAGATATGAAAGAACTTTCAAAGAACAAACAATTGCGGATTATGTTTTGGAACCAACAATTTCGAGAGTAGGGAATAGTTTTTTCCCAAATATAATTCTTTCAATATTATAGTGTGAAATAAACAAAAAACATATACATCACCATACTTTAGTAGATTTCCATCGTACCATATTATATACAATCGATTTCTATAATTCTAGCCACCCGCATCTGCAACCTACCAAGTATTTGTATAATTTCCAATGCGCGGCAAAAATTGGAAGAAAACTATGCAGCCTAGGACGCTGAAAAAGACGTCACCCCCCCCCCCCTGTTGTTTCGTTAGATATTCAACAACTACGGAAAATATAAAAATGTCTACATGCATTACTAATTGCCATTGAGGAGAAATCTGGAAGAAAACTAGCAGCCTTGGCATGGTACTGAGATATTCTTGTACATGTTTTTCCCAGGGTTCCAGAACCTATGTTCTGAGTGTGAACCGCAGGATGCTCAAATGTTTAGTGGGGTATACAGGATTATTGCATTGACTCAATGGACCTCTGGTCTTGGCAGCTCTGAATCGGAGATGGGACGAGAGAAAGGCTAAATTGTAACACATACACATGAGTTGATTTGAATCTACATTGGCAGAAGGGCAAATGCTCGGTTTACTCTAAAGGGCGAAACAAATTTCTACAATACAGTAATGCTAGAAATAACATGCGCCGTTTTGCATTTACATTTCACTCTCGCTCTTGATGTCATACAAATTAAGATACCTTATTAATCTGTACACTACCGCTTACTATTAAGTACATAAAAGTTTTTGCTTCACGTGCAGCGACATCACGGCTATCAATACCACTTTACCTGACAATTTAGATTCGATTTCTCTGACAATGGCAGGTAACACGGGCGGGCGCGCCCCCACTTGTATGTCAGGTAGATAGTGTTTACCGCTCGTCGGTTTATCGCTCGCCGACGTTCTGCAGGGCCGCTCTCCGTCATCAGAATACGCCGAAAACCACCTATGCGAGACCCATTTCAATGTGTGTTGTTCGCGACGCGAACTTTCAGAAGCTCGGCCGTCAAACGTCACCGAAGATCGATCGTAATGTATTTACTCGAGCCGTTACAGGCCCGCGGCATTCGAACTGTTTGCGAAAATGTTCCTTTAGGTTACTGGTGATTTTGCCTCTTTGTCACACCGCGAACAACTACTTTTCAATCTCACGTGTTGGGCTCGAGCTCGATCCTTCGCCTCTATTGTTCGGAATATTCGCCTCTTTTATTCTCTGGTCCCCTCAGCTCCTCAATCTCTAAAATTTCCCCTACCATTTTTTTTCATGTGGTGACTGGCGTGTGCATGAGATTCGCAAAAACGTGGACGATCCACCAACAAGGTTCTGTGGTAGGGTGAACACGTGTTCTCCCTTCCACATCCCCCTTCCCTGCGTGGCCTCATTATCGTATCTCGCAGAAATGTCTTCTTTGTCATCCCGTTGTTCTCTTTGAGCGCCATATCGGTTTCTGAAGATACGTATGTAACTAATTGATAAACTATTGTATTCGCGGGATTTAGCTCTTTCAGCACACACATAGCCTTTTGATCAAATCCGTATATTCTGTTACTTTCTGAGATTCGCATTGTGAATTTAAAATGTCATCCATATTTTGCGACCTAGAGGGTCGACAGGCGCGAGGATGAAGAGAGTGTTTTATGACGGCTTGGCGAGGATGGGCGTGGGGGCTTCTCTCTATAGGACTCCTTCCCACATCGGCACTGCAGCGCGCTTCCGAACGCCGGGCTGGTGGCAGAGCATTGGTATAAATGGAGGTCTTCTCACGTGCGGCAGATTCGCGATGCTATGTGTGAAGAGTCTGCAGTGCACTTTCCTCGCACTTGTACTTGTACCAGGGAGAATTCACCGCGCGGTGGGCAGCTGGGCGCTAGCCTCTAATTGTACCCCCACCATAGGCTTACAAGTACGCCCTTGGGCGTACGGGCAAAGCCTGGCAAAACGGAGCTTAGCATCGTCTACTTACTACCTCCACCTTGAATCTAATACCGCCGTGAAACTCAGGGTCCGGATGGTCGTCTACAACTTTCCACCAGAGATCGCGACAGCCTACGCAGCCGCGATCCTCCCTGCGGGGTCGCGCTGCTGAGGCGGACTCATATGTATATCATACTGGTTGATGGCTTTGCAGGAAGTTGTGTTGAATGTTTTTGTAAGTGAGCCATCTGCATGTGAATGCATTGACAAATTGAGCACATGGTCGTAACCTACTGTTATAATGTCAGCAGTAGCCAAACAGTAGCTCTCAAAACAGTCTCTTCTTACAGTAATCTCTTTACTTCGCGTGATTGCAATTTGGTACAGGTAATTGAGAATATCTGTAGTCTTACATATTAGTTATACTTCCACCATGAGTTATACCTGAGCAAGGCATATTACTTTCTCGACCTTATGATTGTCAGGAGACAAAGTATTATAATAATGCGCCAGAAAAGGGTGATTTTTTCAATCTTAATTTTCATTAAATCACCTCAAAACCTGGGTATACTCTTGCTTGGGGATCATGCAGCTTTTCGCTGCACCCTGGATCCCCGTCGCTTGATGGAGTTCATATTAAATGTGCAATTTGGCTGTAAATAAGTTTACTTGGATTTTCGTTCTAGTTACTGATTTAAGTAGTAGTTAAAAATGTGAAATCATTTGCAGTACTTTTTAATGGTTTTTTAAATTAATTATCTAAATTTCATAATGTAAATTCAAGGAACAACTTAACTTGAATTTAACATTATAACAACAGGTTAACAATAATTTTATAATAGTGTAATTAAATTTAAGATTTTTCTAAATATTTGAAGTTATTTTTAAGCTAAGGGTTAAATTATTATCAGGATATATCCGTTAACTTCAACATATTTTAATTTTAAATTGTACTATTAAAATTTTGCTAATATCCCTTGATAAGAAATTTGCTTTTTTGCATTTACAGAAATAATGTAAATTTTAGATAAAAATGTAAGCATTTGCAGAAATGTTCACTTTAAATAAAATATACCTTTTAATTATTAATAAACTTACAATTTTGTCTTAATTAGATCCTTTTTCTTTTTTTACATATTTTGTAGAATGATCTGTATTCCAGATACAAGCATCTTGCTGGAAGTTTTATTCTGCTACATTCCCAAAAGAATAAAGAATCATGTTTGAAGGTGTAGTAGCAACATTTCTAAACCGCTATCTAGGCAAATACATTCAAGATCTAGATATTGAAAATCTGAATATTGGAATTTTCCAAGGAGATGTACAACTTACAGATCTTAGACTTAAGCCAGAAGCTTTGGTGAGTGTACACTCAAGTACTAGACAACTATTCACAATTTATATATTTCTTTCTCATTCATTTACTTAATTATTTCAGTATGAACTGGATTTACCCATTGAGGTGAAAGTAGGAATCATAGGCAAGATTTCATTGAATATTCCGTGGTCTGGATTATACTCTCAGTCAGTTGTTGTCTCAATAGAGGTAACATCTTTTTCAGTGGCATTTAGAAGTAAGCATATAGTATTTCACACTCAATAATAAATACTTGATAATCATTTTTTAGGATGTTTATATCATTGCTGGACCTACAACTGATAGAAAATATGATTCAGAATTGGAAAAAAGATTAATAAGAGCAGCAAAGAGGAAGAAATTGGAAGCTTTAGAAGGAGAGAAACTATTTGGAACTGGTAAAGTCTGATGCTTTCAGAAAGTCTGATGTTTCTTCAAATACTTCCACTCCATTCTTATATTCATTTTACTAATGGCTACATTGCCTTGTTTGTTCTCCATAGAGAAGTATTAAAATATTCACGAAAAGTATGAAGTATGATTTTAATTACTACTGATCTTCATTTTAATTTTCAGGACCTTCAGACTCAAAGACATTTATTGAAAATCTTGTTGCTACAATAATTAATAATCTTCAAGTATTTATTAGGAATGTTCACATACGGTATGAAGATTGTGTTACTAATAAAACTTCTCCTATTTCCTGTGGTGTTTGCATTCAAAGTATATCAGCTGAAAGCACTAACAGGTAGGTGTGATGATTTGCATTTTATCCTTATAGTGTCACTTATAAAAATGTGGAAAAAATCATTATGTTCTTATAATATTATTTTTTATTGATATGTGGAGCTCTGAAATCATAATTTATGTCTGATAAATTAAAATACATTCATAATAAACTCTATAGCAAATGGAAACCAGCAATAACTCCTCAAGGTGCAGCATCATTTTATCAGTTATTACGTGTGGAATCTTTCTCTCTCTACTGGAACCCAACATGCAGTACTGGTGGCTTAATTACCCATCTTGTGGAGTTAGATGGAGCACCTTATCCATGGCGAAATCTTATGAAGCGAGGGCTGGAGACATTTAGTGTCAATCAAGAAGATTTTGATTTCAGTAAGAAATTTAGCAAAATGTAGGAGCGTAGCAAATTTTGTAATTTAATGTCATTATAATATAAATAACTAAATGTTGTTAAGAAAGTTGTTTTTGGATGAATATAAGTTAATAATTTGTAGCTCTTTTTGGCTATCATGGAATTAAAAAGAATAGAAAAAAGTATTTGTTCCTGTGTAGATAAGAGATTTTGTTATAGAAACAGTGGCAAAGTAGATTCCAAATAAATTAATGCAAAAGGTTAGTTAGTATTTTGAATAAACTTTACAACTTCAAAATATAAAGTGTTCATATCCTTATTGTTGTAAAGATTCAAACAATAGTAAATGAATGAAAGCTAACGCTAGTTTTCTTTAAACTTAATTTAGGGAGCAAATGATGACTCAAAGTTTTTCTTGGTTCCAGTTGTGAAACCCATCACTGCAAAAATGAAAGTAATTGTAAATAGATCAAATGAAGCCCGTGTACCTAAGCTCTTAGTAGATTTTGTTCTTCAAGATGCTGTGACTCAGTTGTCTCGACAACAGTATCTGTCAATAACAAATTTAGTTGAATCATTTGAGTCTATGCGGATTAATAGGTATGTATATTCTTTCTACTTTCTAATAAACTGAGATAAATTTTAGTGCTTGACAATTGTTAAATACACCATTCCTCAAAAAGTCATTTAATTTAGTAATTACATTTTTGTAAGTATGCGATCTTTCATTTCAAAATGCAATGTAAAATCAAACGGAAAAAATTATCCTTATTGAATTTTGTAAGCTAGATATTTAATGTACTTGTTATTATCTGTACTTTCAAGGAAACAATGTAATTTTTCTGTTTGAATTTTGTTTTCTAAGAGATACATTAATGATTTACAGCCTTGCCAATCGTGACGAGGTTTCTTTAAAAAAACATAAAATCCTTTCAGTTGTTGTACTATAGGCTTTCAAAGTTCTTTCCTTCAGTTATTATCAACAGTCAATATCACACACCAAACAAAGGAATACTACATAAATACTCATTTCCTAGAATTCCAATGCTCATCTAAATTATTATCCCAGAGAAAATGCCAGTGAATCAACTACAATGAAGGACACATTTACATTGCAGCCTCACTCTTTAATGACTTTCACACTACATTAAGACTGCTCATCATCAATATTGTAAACAACAGGGAGATAAAACATATCTTATTGCTTATATTGCCTTGCTCTTATAGCCTTGTGAGTTATAACAGCTTCTTTTACTACCGTGTATTATTATATACTATATAAAATATTTAATTTGTATTGTATAATTTTAAAAAGACTAAATATATCTGTAACAAGTAATGTTCTTCAGTCTGTGGACCAATGACCCCTATCCTGATCAGGTTGATCATCCAGTTTCCCGGATCCATTGACCAACTGCTGAGATAGGCCCTTGTTTTGTTTCTCAAAATAAATGTATCTTCACAATATGTACATTTTCTTGACCTCTCTTTTTGTTAGTTATGATAGGTGTAGAAATGTGGGTGTTGGTTGCTATTTCGTTAGCAATACTGTAAAATCAAATCTCTTGTCCATTTACTGATGCAAATATATTTTCTATAACTCAGAAGTGAAAATTTATAGTCTCTAATAACAATAATAAATTTATTATTATTATTATTATTATTATTATTATTATTATTATTATTATTATTGTTGTTGTTGTTGATATTATTAATAATTTTTACTAGTCATTCATGAAGGTCTAAGGATAATTTGTTCAACATCAATTGCAAATTGTAATATGTATTAAGTATAGCAATGTGCAATATTATAGTGTATATATTACTGTATAATCAGTAGAGATAATAATTTTTATCCTTTTAAATCTGGCAGAAAATTTCGTTCGCATCATCCTGGTATACCACTTTCTGGAAACAGTTCAAAATGGTGGAAATATGCATACACTGCATTGTTAGAACAAAGAATAAGGCCACGTTCTTGGCAGTATATTAAAAAACATAGGTAGTGTATAAATATTTTACAATTTTCTTGTTTTGCACTAAATTATATTTTGAAAAGTTTTTTTAAAAAAAATTTTTTGTAGACTTTTGAACACTTTTGTATTTGGACATGTTATCTGCCAAATTTTGAGGTAGATAACTTTGCATTTCATCATATAAATGTTTAATCACTTTTAGAACTTTTAACTGTGGGATAATTTGTTTTAATTTTCAGAGAAAATTACCGCAAGTATAGAGATACCTATAAAATGACTCTCTTGAGTCCTAATGACACAGAATTAAAAATGGATCTCCAACAGTTAGAAGATATGCTTTCTGTAGTTGATATTGTTATAGCAAGAGAACATGCAAAAATTCAGGTACTATGAGTGATTATTTAATACTAATATGTATACTTACATCTATATCTATGTATGTATGTATGTATGTATGTATCTATCTATCTATAGATATATAATTACATATAATTAATGTTATTATTATAATTTTTAAATAATACACTTGCAGTATTTGATTTTGTTTTCCAGTTACGCCATGAGGAACCAGATTGTATTGTAGTCCATGAAAATGAACCAGACTGGTGGGGGATCTTTTCTCAGGAGCATAGTTTTGCACTTTTAGTACATACAGGAGAAAAGGGAAAAGGGTTGTGGACACAGCTGTCTTCCCCAGAGAAGAAAAAATTATGTGAAACTATTGGTTATGTTGAAGGTGTAATAAGGCCAGAGAAGCCAAAGCAATATATTGGTAAGGTTCTTGTAATATGCATGTTTATTTTTTTATATACAATATTTTTTCTCATTCCTCATTGTTTTCGATATCAAAAACAACGCTTTGTTAAGTATCATAAATAACATTGTTAAATTGTAGAAAGTAGATTTTATAGAAAATTTTGGCATTTTTATCTTTGAATTGAATGCTTATAGAATTTTAGAAGTAACTTGTTTTCATTAAAAATTCTGTATATTAACATGAAACTAACATTTATTATTTTCAGAACATAAAATCAATTTCACCTTAGCGAACTGCTCTGTAAGTCTTTTGAACCGGCGTCGAGAAATTCTTGTTATTACATTAACACAGTTTTTGGCCAGTATTGAAACCCGACCTTCTGCTCAAGCTTTTAAAGTATCTGCTCGGGTAGAAAGCATCATTGTGGAAGGTGCTAGCTCTGAGAATGATTTGATTCCTCTAGTATCTGGCGACAGTATTCTCTCAGGTAATTTTGTTCTATCTAATAACTCGCTGATTCTCTTCAATAAGATCAAAAATGGTTCCTACTTATAATGCAGTGATGTATCTTTAGTAGTACACTTAGTCTTTTTGTATATTTCATGAGACGATGTCCTTTTTGATATTATTATTGTTTGCAAATTAAATAATGAATAAGTGATCTTAGGTACTCTTACATCTGCAAAATCTTGATGATAGATTAGAATTATTGTTTTCTTTATTTTTCCTCAGGCAACACTGCTTCCAATTTTCTGTCTATTGATTTTGAAAAGAATCCAGGTAATGTTCAAGCAGATTTTGGGATTTCAGTTACTTTGGAACCAGTTGAGATTGTATATAATGAGGTAGGTTATATGTATTTCATTATAAAATTCATTTATTTTATTATTATTATTATTATTATTATTATTATTATTATTATTATTATTATTATTATTATAAGTATATATTTAATTAAATATTATACTTTTCTGTCTCTTCCTTTCACATTCTAATTAATTGTAATGAACACTTTTATAAAAAACTTTTTTTTTTCAGCAAGCAACATCTGAAATTATTAATTTTTTTCAAACCCAATCTGTTGCCATTAGTGATATTATTGAAAATTCCAAAAAGAAATTACATCATTCATTTGAGTTGGGAAGAGCATTATTTCAGTATTCAATAAATAGGCACAAGACAATAAATATTAATATGGACTTGAAAGGTCCTCATATTGTGATACCAGAACTAGGCTCTATCCAAAAGTAAGTCTTATCTAAGTTTAAAAGTAGGCGTACTTACGAGATTTTCTCATTTCATGTTTTAAAACTGGTATTACTTGACAGGGGTGGAAGTATTCTTATTTTGGATTTAGGAAGAGTAGTGGTTCGTAGCGATTTGCAACAAGGAATGGCTGGTCTTGAAGATGCTACTCAAATGGAATTAGAAGAACGACTCTATGATAGATTGCATGTGGATTTTTCAGATGCTCAACTCCTGTTTTGTGATTCTGGTATGACATCATCTTTAAATTAAAGGCTGAGAGAGTTTAAGAGTTAATTAATACCTATAAATCAGACAAGAACCAATGTAACTTCAGTTAAGCATATAATATTTTTTTTACTCCTGCAGTTAATGATGATATTGATGGTAATAATGATGATGGAATATTTTACCAATAATTAATCCAAATTTATTCTCTTTATTTAAAAAAAAATACTGAAAGATGCTTTTTTATAATTTATAATATAAATTATATTATTTTATTTAAATTATATTTGGCACAAAACTCTGTAGGTGTACCACTGCTGGGAAGGAAATGTCGCCCAATCTCGCATCAAAGAGATTTAAACCAAAACCAGGAAACTCATTAGATTACGGATATGAGGTTAATTAGATGCCCATGAAACCCACATCTCACATTATAATGTGAGTTACTTTACCATCATGCCTTAATTGAAAACCTTGCCTTAAGGGCAATACAAAAACAAATTTTTGTTTCTCCAGAGAAACAAGATTTATTTTTTATGATATAATCTACAATATGTTAGTTCCAGTGTGAAGCTAAAAAATCTTTTAAACCCTTTTATTACACTTTTTGTAATTTATGTCCTTCTGGTTAAACTGGTTCAGAATTTCCCATTTCATTTGCCAAGGGAGCCAGCACTTCACCCTTATGAAGGTCACAACCAGATAGTCAAAATGATAACATTTGTGCCTAGGAAATGGTGTCTCCCAGTCATCCAAATAGATTCTGACTCCAAATACAGAAGCCTATGCTTTCACAGTATAACCTAGTGCTCGCTCCTTCTTCCTTATTTTCTCAATCTTTATATTTTGCAGTTACCACTTCATTCCTTATTACCATCAACATCATTTTTCATCATGTCTAAGTTTACTTTAATGATTTTAAATAAAAAAGTAGAGACTTACTGAACCCTTTTGTCTTCTTTGTGTTGGTCAAATCCTGAGATAAGATATTGACTACTTTATCGAATGTAATGTGTAGGCATTTATTGTAATAAAATAATCATAGTGTTATTTCAGAGTTTGGAATAAGAAAAGTTTCATATTTGTATTTGTAAATACATATTTATATTATCATTTTCATATTGTTTTTAATTTCGTAGGAGAGGAATGGAGGGAAGCCAGAAGACATCAGGATAGTGAATACCATCTACTTCCAAAAATTCACTGCCAGCTTGTGTTTTCAAATAGTGTTAAACCAGACTACAGGCAACTTCCAAGGTTAATGAAACATATTGCTTTCTTTAATGTGTAAATATGGTTAATTATTTTTCATTAAGGGAAATGACTAAATATCTAACACATGCAACATTGCATTTTAATTATTAAACTTCTGAAAAGGTTTATAATAACTTACTTTTTACAGACACAAGCTCAATGTATCTATTGCAAGTTTGAAGTTAAATTTATCTGATCGAAAAATTGGTATGGTTTTGGACTTCCTTGACAATTTACCATTGCCTTCCCCAAATACAGTTCATATATCTGAATCTGATCCTGCTTTTGCTCAAGATGCAAGTGATAATCAAATGCAAGATCTTTTTCATCTTGATAAAATTGTGTCAGAGCCAAATACTATTTTCCTTTTGAACATAAAGAGAACCATTGTACTAACTGAAATACTGAAAAATGAAGAGAAACGAGAAAGTTACAATAAAGCTGCAGCAAGATTAGCTTTGCTAGAAGTTGACAAGTGAGTATGGTAATTTACATTGTATTGAACTTGGAATTACGATTATAAGGAGTGTGGTACTGTGAAAATAAACTGGATGGAGTTTCTGTAGATATTACGGGAAGTTGTAAAGTTGTAACAAAACCTGCTTTTAATTTTTTTAACAAGTTCTTTGAGATGTTTTTTCATTATTAAAAATTTATTTTTGTGAAAAACTTATGTTTAAATGTACATTTTTTATTACAGGTGTTTCATTTCATCAGATCACAGTGATGAAGATAATGAAGAATGGGCACGTACTGTTGATCTCCCTGGATTTGATGATAATGTTTCTCCAAGAAATGTTATTACAATGCTGCTACGATTTGTTGTTGGAGAGGTATGTATTCTATTAATCTTTTATAATAAGTTCCTCTTAAATAAGCAGTTGTGTATTTGAAGGATTTGGCTACAAGTTTGTAAGGGAGATGCTGGAAGAGTTTTCAGTTTAAATAGAAAATTAGAAAGAAAGTTAAAAAGAAAAAAGAAATTAATTTTATTTCTACAATTAAATCTTAGAGGTCTAAAAGTTTAAAATAATGAAAACATTTCAAGGGAAAAGTTTTGGAACAGGTGAGAAATAATGAATAGAGAAAGAAGTGAAAAAAAATGTCTTCAGAAAAGAGATACCTTACTTGATACCTGAAAGTTTCAATTTTCTTTGCTATTTTGACCCTATTGAAATAAATTGTGATTGACATTTGCCAGAAGGTCTGGCAGTCTCTTTGAAACTACATATCTAAGTGCAAAAATTATATTATATCTATCATTGACCATCACACTTAATTTTTCTTAACAAGTGTCAGTTATTGTTAATTTTTTTAACATTATTTTCACCTTTGATATTTTAACAGGTGGTTGTGCAGCTTGCAAGATCAAGTAATCGTGTGGATAAACCATATCTAATGTTACGAATAGGAAAGCTTTGTTGGGATACTGCTATTATGGAGTATGGACCAGCAGTTCAAGCATCTTTGGGGAGTATTCAACTTATTGATAAGATCCACACAGGTTGTTCAGGAGAGTACCTTGAACTTGTATCTACAAATTCTGAGATTGATTTAGCAACTCTGCTGTACAGAAAGGTAATTTGTGTTCATAAAATCTTAAGGAGGATTTGTAGTAGTTGTACTTCTTTAATTTAAATGTGTACATGTTATAATTATGAAATTAGAAATTGAAATTATAATGCAATAATCAGTTGTGATACAAAGAGTTTTATGTAATAATAAATGTACATTTAAAACATGACATGTGATAATAAAAATTCTAAAACTATTTAATGTTCCATGCAGGTTCGTGCAGACTGTCCTGATTTTAAGTCTCATTTTCACAGTGTTGAACAGTCTGTTGTTCTGGACTTCACTTCGTTGAATGTTGTATTCCACAGAGAGGCATTTAGAACACTCAACAAATATTTGCAATATTTATTACAAAAGTAAGAACAATGTTCTTTTTTCTATGTTAATAAATACATTATAATAGAAAAGATAAAATTCTGAAAACCCCTGTTGTATTATGGATAATTGGAAGACCTTTGGGGTATTTTACATAACAGTGAAACAATTTATTTTATAATTTATAAATTATAATATTAAACATAATGTAAATTGTGATATTATCTACTTTGAAAAAAAATTGTTCTGACCTTTGTCAGTACATGAAAGGGTTAAAATATATACAAATATAAGTGTGTGTGTGTGGTTTTACAGGATAGCTTTCAGTTCATTATTCAAAGTCTGAATTGAATTCAAATTTTTTAGGAAATTTTGTTTGATGTTATAAAATTTTTTACCTGAATGTTTAAAATTGTAAGACTAAAAAAAATGTTTTTTTCGCATCACTCTTATTAATTTTCATAGAATTGACACACGCCAGGCTTACTTAAAGCCAATGGTGTCCAGACCACCTTCCATAACGAATTGGCTTTTCATGGAAAATGGTGATCCACCAATTCCTCCTGGAGCAACTAAATTCAGTTATTCAACAAGACTTAGTGAAATTAAAATTAAAATGTGTGATACAGATGTTGACTTCCTTGAAATAAAGGTATTGTTTTTCTGGACTGTCTTAACTAACAACTAATCTTTATATTTTTTCTTTTATTAATACACTCATGAATTATTATTGTGTGTTACTCTGGATTGCCTTGTATTGTGAACAATATTATTTGAAAACAATTAGAAGAAATTGTTTTCACTTTTTTATAGGTTGCAGGTTTGGAAAGTGATTGTTTATTTAAGGCAAATGAAAGAATGGTGTTCAGGATGTACCTTACTACATTATCTATTGATGATCTATCTGATGTGTCTTTATACCCAAAGGTAAAGTCATGTGTATATTAAAATATAATTTTTATCCATTTTTATTAACATGATTAATTTTATTTTTTAAAAATTGTTCTTATTGCTTGAAAGCATGAGAATAAATGAGAGCATGAAATAAAAATAAATTATTATTGTTAATCTTTTATAGATATGAGAAAGGTGAATGTTCTTATAGAAAGTTAAAGAAAGGGTTAAGGTGTCGTCCATATATTACGTAATGCTAAAGAGGGGGGTAGGGGGTTTGAAGCAGTGTTACCCTGTGTTACTTGGGGATAGGAGGTGTTAGTTTGGTGTTACTACATAACATTGATTTACTTTTAAATTTTTGACATTTGGTGAAAAAATTACTTTTTTCTGTCTTATAACAATGCATTAAAATATTAATTACATTTTAAAAAACATAAGTAACTTAAAGTTATTGTGTCGTTTGTTAAAATAAATGGAAGCATTTTTTCATAATTTTTTATAGAATCTTAAAGATTTCAAAGAAAATGTTAAAACAGATCTATTGTATATTCTAGAAACTTATTAAATTGGTGAAGTAGATTGTTGCTCATGCATCATCCATGACATGTGCACTGCTTGTAAGAAATTTTCACGTCTGTGTGACCTTCCTGCTCATAGCAGTCAGCATCGTCAATTAATTCTGACTTTAATTATCATAAACTTTGAAATGGAACACAAATAAAATTGATACAAATAATTTTTTCTGTGATATAATTTATTTTAATTTTTGTAAAGGGGGGCGGGTCTTAAGCATTATGTAATTATTTTGGGAGACCAAATTTGCATTTTGTAATTTATAGATGGTCCCTAAGGCATCCCCGTAATGCTGTTAATATTTATCTTTGCCCAAACAGCCCATGCCAATTACTCAGTAAATTTTATTGACCTGTCATTACCAGAAATATTCAAGTACAGGTGTATGAAAGAAAATATTTTTAGACAATATATTGTCAACAGTACTATCAAATTTCTTGATGAATGACATCTCAGAAATCAGTTAATGGGCAAACTCTTCACCTTCCAAAGAAAAAAAAATTAAGAAAAACTTGTTGAAATCTCTTCAGATATGTAAGGGAAAGAGACAAAATATTGTATACTGCATATCTAAATTCTATTCAAGAATTCAAACGCTGTATCTAATAAATTACATTCTTTTATTTGTTTATTATATTTACATTATAAATTACTGTAAGCCTACTCTCTCCACAAAATGAGCAATATGATTAAAAAAGGTAACTATCATGAATATGATTATGAAATCAGAATTAAAGTATCCAAAAATAATTATCTTTTAAATTTTTTAACAGCATAGGGATATTATGTTTTACAGAATTGGTTTATTGTTTTTCAGTAGTGATTGTTTATTCTTCTTCTTATTGTGTCTTTTAATTTTATAGATATTGTCCGTTGAAGAAGAGAAGGTATTTGATTTAAAGTATGTTCGACATAGCCCAAAACTGTATACACAAACTGTAATGGATAATAAAAAAGATGATGTTAAATCAGATGGAAGTTTAAGACTTCATGTTGGCAGAATTCAAATTGTTCTTCTGTACAAACTTATAATTGATTTACAGGTACTGAAACTGAATATTAGCAAGTGCTAGTTGTAAAAAACATATTTTGGGATTAAAAAATGGTTTCAAAATATTTATTTCTGCTTGTGTAGCATTTTATGGAGCCATTTGTGCATCCCAGCATCCCACTACAAATGATTCATTCTGTTGTTAAAAGACTAGAACAAAGAGTAGCTGGTTTGCGTGGATTAAAAACTCGTCTTCACTTATCACTAACTGTTCATGCCCCTACACTTCTGCTTCCTCAAAAGTCTGCTTCTCCTAATTTAATTGTATTAAATCTAGGTAAGTAATGTGTTTACAATTTTAACAATTTTAAAAATGTATTATAGATACTGTACATCATTTTGTGGTAATGCAAACATTATTATTGCACTTATTTCTTAGATTTTTGAGATTATTTTCTCTCTCTTTTTTGTAACAGGTGATCTTAGTGTTGAGAACTTTTTCAAGGAAGTTACAGCTAGTCAAATAAATCAAAGTGCTGCCAGCACCCCTGGATCTGGAGACACACCAGTCATTGACAATGTCCTTGTTCGCCTCGAAGCTCTTCAGTTGTCAAGAGCTGTAATGACACTAGCCGGATCTTTGGAAATACAGGTAAAAAACTGAGAATTTCATTAAAAAGTAATTCACTTCTTCATAAGGAACTTCACTTGATGAGAAGAAAGTTTTGTTAATTCTCACTTGTAATTGTAGCTAAAAATGCTAAGGGAGTAAGAAAAATGGCTGTACATTGGAAACTTAACTTGTGCAACTCACATATTTCAAATAACTATGCCAGAACTAACAACAGTTAGCAACTGATACAGTAATGGTATGAAGCAATGTCTGGACTGAATTTCTCCTGTATAATTACACTACATGAACATTTGATGCAGTGCAAGCCTATGCTGGTTGCTTGTAAGCTTCATCATTGGATTATTGTCTCATTTTTGCTGATATTGGTGCGTACCCAAGAGTAGATCCTACTCATAGTTGAGTGGTCATGGGCACATTAATTTCGATGAGTCTTGGTCATTAGGAGATTTCCTCTGCATAGGCAGTTGTGCCTTCAATATCCATATGTGTCACACCCAGGTATTCGTCCAAATATATGGGCACCTTTCTCATGAGCAAGTGCCTTCATATCTATGATAGCACAATTCAGTGAGTTTTATGTGGGGTCAACGATGGACTCAATTGCCTTAGCACATATTGCATATACTTGTGAGTGGCAACACTCATGTAAACTCTGCTCTTCTTTGTTGCGTATCAGTCATGGCAAGAACACAATGCCCAGGCATATATAAAGCGTCACACAGTTATTGAACATGTTTCACACTGTTACTACACTACACACAAAACAGTTATAAAGAAAGAAATATTTAGAAACAATGGCCAAAAAAATGTGCTTATAAAACCAAAATACAATTACAACCAAAAAGATATATTCATCGCAGATTCACAATTCAGATGAAATTATATTTGACAAAGGTCAAGAACCCTATGAGGAAAAGGAGAGAAGCATTTGTTTACTTGTTAGGGTCAGTCTCCTCAACAACTGATATAAGATAATGCATATGGTATTATTCTGGTTGGTAAACCTCTGACATGTTGGTATTAATTGCTGAATTGAATGGAAAATTTCACAAGAATAAGACATCACCTTCAGTTAACATTAGATTTTACATATGTTGTAAAATACTAGCTTATATCGTGTGTTACCCTGGTATTATTCCCCACTGCTCACTCCCATGCACATGCACATTAATTAGATTAATGCCCCCATTGATTCAAATTACTGAGAATTATAAAGGATTTTAGTTTAATTTTAAGTATGATTGATTATGATTTTTCTATAATTTCAGATAAAGCTAGTTCCATCAACCAATATTGTTCACATCCAATGAGGATTCCTCATTAGCCTTTTTCTATTGCTTACTTTTTTCTCCATTTTTTAAATATGAACACTTATTTATAATGTGAATAATAATTAAATCAGTAGTTTTTTTCTATTGTACTTTTATTACCATTGAAAATGATCACCTTACTGAAAAATAATATTAGAGTCAGTTTTTATTGTGTTATCATCATCATCATCATCATGAACTATTAGGGGGATTTAGATATGCCATTTCCTGTGCTGTTGGTTTAGTGGTTATTTTGATGGATGTTCCTGTTGTGTCCATCTCATCTTTGACCTTCCTTGCTCTCTTGTTTGAAGGTTGTTATTTCAGCGCTAGCCCAGGTAGCCTCTTATCTTCCATACTTTTCATGTATTTCAACAATTTTCTTCGATATTCCAGTATATCTTTACATATATTCTTTTCTTTCCATCTTTGATCTCGAATTCTCTTGAATTTTAGGATTTTCTTTTTGAAGTCCTCTTGTTCTTGTTTAATTATTTTTAGCAGGTAACTAAATTTCCTTACTTGTTCAATTTATTTCCCATTTATATTTTTACTAATTTTATTTTTCTGTCCCAAAAGGTCAAACCTTCGGTTTTCCCACATGATTTCTCTTCATGTTCTTCTGCTATTTATTGAATTCATATTTAGCTTTCTGAAGGTGATGCTCTTTTTAACAGGAGTGTTTAATTGCATACAATATTGTTTTAATTTGATGTTTTCTGTTCAATTGTATTTCTTTATTGATTATTGCACTGCATTTTCTGATCATATTAGTATAGAAATTGAAAAGGCACAGTAAGAGTCAACATCTTCTCGTAGTATGAAAGCTTTGTAAAGTTTGTTTGCCTAGTCTTATCTGTGTCTTTCAGTTTTTACACAAATGTTTAATTCCTTTAATTATTTATATTGGAATGCTTTTGTCTTTAAGAATTTTCCATTGTTTTTTCTTCATACATTGTCATAAGTTTTTGCATAATGTAAGAGTTAAATGAATATTGGTCTGTTCTTTTCTCTTTGTTTGTCCATTATCATTTGAAGAGTGAATATGTCATCTCATTGTGCTCCTTACTTTATACTTACTCTGGAGCCGTATTATTTTTCTCCTATGCACAGCTCTCTGTATTTGTTAAGTCAGTTTTTAATCATGTTGGTGAATAATTTTGAGGCAGATAATGGAAGGGGTTGTGTAATTTGTGCAGTGTCTTCAGTTCAATTCTCATCTTTTTGTATAGGTTTATAATCATACCTTCCTGCAAATCTCTGGGTATACTCTGTTCTGTCCATATTTTGTTGAGTAGATCTACTATCTTGTTGTATAATTGGGATCCACATATTTAATTTGTTCATGTTACATTACATGGTTGATTCATGGCCTTTTTAATTTTTTGCTGTGTTTACGACATTGGGCAATTCAACCATGAATTTAAATCTGATCCATTAATTCAGGACTTTGCTTTTTCTTTTCCAGATTGTTTTGTCTTTCCTGATGGATGGATTTCTTTTTCTTTTTCTTTTCCATAGTTTGAAAGTAGTGATTAATTCATTCTCTGGTATGTTTCTTTGTAATTGTACTATCTGCTGTGATATCTGTATGTGGTCTTTTGATTTCCATTTGAAGGTTCTGAAGCTTTTAAATTCCATTCTCTGTGGTCCCTGTAATGTCCTTCAATTGACTTCACAAACTTTTTGTGATCTTTCTTTTGCTCTCTCCTGCATAGTTCGCCTTGTTCTGTGTTTATACAATAATTTGTATTTCTTATGTATATCTTGTTTTTATTTGTCTATGTATGGTTGATAAGCCTGCTTTCTTCTTTCCTATCATTTCTTGTATGTCCTTATTCCATTGCGTCAGACATTCTTTTCAGTTTCTTGCCCTGCTGTTGCCCAAATTTTATGTTGCTGACTTGCTATCGTTGCTATTTTTAGGGATCCCCAATAGATCTTTATGCTTTTGGTTTCTATGACGTGTAGATTTTGTCTTACAAGTAATTTTGATTGACAGAATTTTCTTCTTTCTTCTTCCTAAAGAACATAAACTTTTAGTTTTAGATTTGGTTTCTCCTTTGTTTTCCTTCTTTTCTTTCTTTCTGTTTTGATATTTAGTATGCTTCCTTAAAGGTAATGATCTGTGCCCATTTCACTACTTCTGAATACTTCTTTGTCTTTCACTAAGTTCTCAATTTTCCATTAATAGTAATGTAATCTATAATTGCTTTGGTGCTACATCCTTCCCATTTGTGTTTGCCTTTGTGTTTAAAATATGTATTTGTTATTTCACAGTCACTGAAAATGCATAAATCTATTAGTCTTTCTCCATTTCCGTTTGTGTTTTCTTCTCAACTGTATATTTCTGTTTTGCAATATTACTACATGTAATGTGATTTCAAGCATTAATTTGTCTGACCATAATGACCATAGAATTTACTCTAATTTTCTCCTAATTAAACTTTTAATACCTTACAGGAACCCATCCTGGAGCCAATGAGTATACGATTAGATATAAAAAGAGTGGTAGCTTACCATCACATTGTTGTAAATCAACCTCATTCTTTAAGCGAAAATCAGTCTCATCATCATCGTGATTTACTATTATACGACATACATGGAGTTGTTGACAACATAAGAATAAACTTAGGTCAAAGAGATCTATCCACTCTCTTGGCAGTCTGGAGTGAAAATGTAACAGAAGATCATTTTATAGGTATTAACATTTTTACATATCTCATACAGAAGTTTTGGGAAGATAAGTTCTATCAACTTCCATTGAAAGCCCTTTCTAATCAGTAGAGAACATTATTAGCATAAGTTAAATATAAATTTCTCATAGCTTGTGATAGTTTGCTGTATATCCTAAATTAAGTTCCGTATTCTTTACTTATAAAATGTTAGTTGTTGTTATACATTCAGCTCTTTGTTAGAATGCTATTACAAGTATCTTAAGATAATGCTTTTAAAATACTTACTTTAGATATAACAATTCAAATTTTCAAAAATAAAAAAAATTCATTCATATAAATGTGTACTTTTTAAACTGCTATAGATATACATCCTAACTCAAGACCTTCTTCTCCTCTTGAGCCACCTACACCTACAAATCCAGGAGAAGATTCAGCTGTTAGAAAATTGCAAGCATTTTTCTGTCAATCGGAACAAGTGCGCCGGGAAGCTATATTCAGACTTACTTTGGAAGGAATGCAAATCTTTCTTTTTAATGATATGGATGAGGTAATTTTGAACATAATTTTTAACCCACATAAGCATTAGCATAAGTGTGTGTGTGTTGGTTTAATAAAAATTAGTAAAGTTTATTAAACATTTAATTGTTTGAAGGATTGACTTAAAGAGAAATGAAAAGCATGTTTCATTGAAATATTGATAGAGTTCTCAATAACCTTGAGAGTCGACACAGAAAAAGGCACTGTGTTAACAACTGTAGCCCACACAAGGCATTCAGTACCAAGTTGTAGAACCCAATTCAGATGTTAATACTTCAAAATCAATTGTCTTTTACTTGCCTTGGATATACAGGGCAAAAGGAACTTTGAAGTTAAAGGATTCCTTGGTCAGGGTCATTTGCGGTGTGGGTAAAGGCAAATTTTAAAAGAGGTAAGATGGTGAATGCACAGGTTTTACATGATTCTCTGAAGCTGATTGACTTCAGCATATTCCCTGGGAGCTGCATCACTTCATAGTACTGGGTGACTTGAGGTTATGTTGATTGAAAGGTTGAAGGGGCCACTTGTGAGTGAAATGACTTCCACAAATTCTGTTAATGAGATTTATTCACTGTATTAAGTTGAAGGAGAGTGAAAGAGGAAGGAAAATGAATACTTCTACCAAGAGAGTATAAGGTAGGCAGAAAGAGAGAGAGAAACAGAGTTACCTAGACAGAGGTCTTGTGGACAGTAGGTGGTGGTGGCGGCAGCACTGCTAGTCTGCAATTTTTTTACTTACCAAGGCCAATAAGCACATGACTTCCATCACTAATCATCTCACCACTGCTCCAACCATCAGTCTCTGTGGCTTCTGCCATTTTCAAGTTAATTATCAGAGTGTTATTGAATTCTTGAATTCAATGTAACATGTACATTGAATGTAGTATGTGTAGTTGTATGTGTAAGAATTTGGAATATGTTATTGAATTCATGAAGTTTGTGTTATTGAACTTGAGACACTATAGGTTCCTGGATGGGTGATTATCTGGGAATCTCATAAGTCTCACACCATCGAGTCCCTAGCTGAAGGGATGAAAGACAAGGACTGACTGCAACTGATGATGACTGACTAACTTACCAGAGGTTTATTCCATGTTTGACACCAGTACAAATGGTTAGAGAATGTTGCAAAAAATGAAGATGTTACAAATACCTGTACATAACTTGACCTTCTTAATCCACAAAGTGCACATTATTATCTTCAATAATAGAAATGGTTGTAGCCCCCCTGGGGGTTGATGAAAATTTCTAGGGAGTCAATGGTGTTCAAGGTGTCGATTAGGTGTTCAAGGTGTCAAATATGGACCGGCAATTGATAGGATCAAGATCTCATTGATTACAAAAAATATTAATTAATTTGTTAATTAATTGCTTTCAAATATAAAGCAATAAAACCTATAATTATATATTACATAATCACCCCTCTTCTTTTATATTTGTTATTCATCATTATGATCAGAGGCATAGTTAGGCCAATGAAACCTGTGCTTCACACTGGTCCCCTGAAAGTAAAAAGCCTTTAAAAAGGACACCTTAGAATGGGTATCAGCAAAAAATAAAACAAATTGCATTGTAAATCTATTTCCTCCATAGTTCCAGACATATTCTTAAACCAATTAGATTTAAAACTTAATTTTTCGGATTATTGCAGATAGGCACTTCATTTTGACTTTCTGCACCAGAACATCAGAAAACAAACTGGTTAAGATGTTTAGAAAACCCAATAAATTATACTTACTTATACATGATACTATATCGTGAAAGAAAATACTCTCTGGAATAGGCATTGAAGAAAAGTTAATGCCAGTTAAAAATGCTTAACACTTTGTACAACAATGAAGTTACGAAATTCAGCTACTCAGAAGACGTAGCATCTTCAATTAAAAATCTAGATATTTACTCAAATATTGGAGTATGAAATTGTTATCTTCAAGACATTTATGTGTAATTGTTTGTGTTATGATTATGTATGTTCTATATTGTAGTGAATAACATAAGGAGGTTGACAGAGTAAACAATTCTTCTAAAAGGGGTCGATAAAAGAAAAGGGTTAGGAAATTCCTGCTTTACACAGAGATAAAATGGAGGATGGAGAGGAGAGTGTCACAAGTTGTGGTGGCATTCTTACAGTCTTCAAATTTCAGGTCTCTTTATGTATAAATTAATTTGTTCTCATCTCTGTTACAAGTTCTTGAGAGCAGGAGTGTTTATCTGAAAGTGGATTGTAGACAAGAATCCTTTTCTTCAGGTTCAGATTATTTATGTGGATCAAAACAGATGGGGCATTGTCAAATGTTAGCCAGAAGGGTTTGGGGAATTAATTCTTGAAGATGAGGAAAATCTCCGGAGAATGAAATCTTGAAATGGGGAAATATTGATTAGGTTTGACACCATTCTTGGGAATCATGAAAAAATATCACAAAATTTTAAATTTTATTTTTCCTACAAAGACATTGGTATTTCTTAAAATAAAATAATATTTTATAACAGACATTTGTTTTTTATGAACATAAAAAACAGAGCTGAGATGCATGGCACAGGTGCACCAAAGATTATTCTTGGTGGTGGGCGAGAGGGGTATATTGTAGGTGTTACAGGTAGTGTTCAGCTGACGATGTTTTCTTATAAAAAATGTCCATTTATGCTGAATATAAAATGTATTTTTATATATTGACATACTGTTAAAATTTATAACATAAACAATAAATATATTGAGTGACTTTCATTAGTATTCAAATTAATAAAAGCTATATATTTTTTAGCATGTACAATTAGCATGTATCATTGGCATTGAGGGGGAACTGAACCCCCTTGAGAGCCTCTCCCCCACCTTCGCCTCTGAACATGTGTGTTGATATTATTTTTTATTTCTTTCTTTAAAGATTTTAAGTTCCCCAGTTCGTGATTTGAATCATGGACTGTGTAAATTGGATGTCGGAGAAGCAACTTTGTCTTTAGAAATGTTTAATGATCACAGTACAGTTGTGAAAATGGCCTTGCAGCATTGCCTTCTTGAAGATATTCGAGTGGATAGCAGCATCATTATTCGAAAGTTAGTGCTCTGTTAGGTCATGCTTTATTTTTACTGATTTTTTAGTATTGTACTTATAACATTTTAATTTAAAAAAAACTCTTGGTTAACTTGATCTTTTACAGAATTTTCCAGTCGTATAGTGGTAAAACAAGAACTGATTCTAGCTCAATCTCAGTTTCATCTCCACCTATAATTGATGTAACATTCCGCCAAACACAGACTGGAGACAGATGTATTGATATTCTAGTAGAGAAAACACGTCTAAATTTATCTGTTCCATTTTTCATACATTTGGGTCGATTTTTATTAGACTCATTCCCAGGAGAAAGATCCTTAGATGGAGGAGTGATCAATCATGGCTATGTCGGAGATTTAGGTGCTCAGGTATGTAACTTTTATGATGTAAGGGAATTGTGAAGAAGTGATTCATAATAAAATATAAATGATTTGAAAATATTAATTTGGTGAATAATTTTTTGTTTGTCCTTGCCCCTTTTATTTTAAAATATCCCTTTTATGGATATAAATGAACATCTTTTGAATGTATTTGAACTAATATTAACATAAATACTTCTTTTTTTAAAAATCTGACTGTGATAGTGTGTGGGGGTAAGTCTTCCGAAATTCTCCAAAAATGTTTGTAATTTTGGTTTCAGACTATTTATTTCTAAACCAGAACCCAGAACAATATATTAGTATTTTAAAATATTTCAAAAATTTCATAACTTGTACTTAAAAAATATTTGTGTATTTTTCTCTTTATGTTATATTCACAAAACTTCTTTAATCCTACAACCTTTGATTAAAGGAAATGCAATAAATAAAATTAAATGTAACGGTTGTTTTCATTCAATGCGAGATATTTCAGAAAGCGATAAATATAATTCCAAGAAAGGAAAAAAAACTTCCAAATAGCTTGAGCAAAAGTAATGTTTTTTACCTTGTTATTGAATATATTTATTTAAATTCAGTTTTGGACTCTGCACTATTTCCTTTCTAGGAGACTAGGGCACATGTTAGTTGGTTGACATCACAGTCAGATTGATTGGAAAATAAAACAAAAAACCAATGAACTCATAATGGGCAACATGAACTGAGATGAATTTTATGTTGCACAACTTAGTACATGGTCATTTATTGCTTCAGTGTAGATTTATCATGTAATGAAATTATTATGTATACAAATTAAGAAGATGTGATGTATAAATTGCAAAAATTTGCAGTTCACTGTACTTAAAAAATAGTCATTTGCTGATCCGCATTAAGTTATCCATTTTGTGTACTTTGAACTCCTAAATGTATTATCAGTTTTCAAAGATCCTGTATAATTATGTGTTTGTTTTTTTAACTCATGAATTTTGAAGACCAGAATACCTGCTGAAACCTTGAAGCCATTGCAGAGACCACCCAGTTCTGCTGACAGTACAAGTGGGTATTTATCATCAGGTGCATCATGTATTGATGATCAAGCAGGTAAATTGTGTAATGAGGGAATTCATTACACTGTCTGAATTTTGTAGAGATCAATATGTGTGTTTTTATAAATAAGTAGTTTATTTTCTATTCAAATCATTCTTGAACACTACTTTCATTAAACCTATTTGATTTTATTGTGGTAGTTGTTATTGTTATCATCATCCTCTCTTAATTTTAATTATCATCATTTTTATCCCTTAGTCTAAGAATGTTTGTTAGTGCTGTGAAGATAGTTGAAGTACAATGAGTGGGGGTGGATTTTAGTGAAATATAATTTATGAATTTTCACTTAAGAAGAATGATTTTTAGGAAGACATTCATTTTATGTTATGACAAAAGAAAATGACTTATTTTTACATTACTTTTTTTGCATTATTTGTCAATTTGGACTAATAAGTCAGTTTTTATCTTTTCCTGACATATGTAAAGCATTTTTTGCTGAATGTATTGATTTTAATGCCATTTTAATGGTACTTTTTTGAAATAATATATTTGAGATGCATCAAATGTTCTCCACAGAATTCCTGAGTTGCCTATTCAATTTCTTCTCTTACAAATTGTAATGTCATCCATTGTAAATATGTAATCTAAGGTTCCTGTGAGCACCATTGTCAGTTTGACTGATTTCAGGAAAACTAAAGATGGATATTTCCTGGTAAAGAACAGTCTAAACCAAAACTTTGCAAGCTGAGTTCACTTGCACAAAAGGAAGAAGCCTTGTATTACATCAGTAAACTTACCAACAGCTTGAGTTGTTCATATTAATTGATACTAATCAAATATTTTGACATATTTTTTTGCCTTTAGGACATTTAGAAACAATTTAAGAACATTTTATTGATCATTTTTTGCCAATGTTTAGGTCATCAAAATTTGCCCATTAATAATGATGTTATTATTCGTACAATACCAAAGATTCTTCATATGCAATTACATTGCTTGAAGCAACCAGTTCATTGCAAAGGCATTTTCTCAGAGTCCACGATTACCCAAACGTTTGTTAAAAACTTTGTTTTGCCTTACTCTGAATTTTTTTCCGGCAAGATTATTCTTATGTAAAGAAATAGTGTTATGTAAATTATATGAAAGGCATGTGTATAACTTTCTATTAGTACAAAGATTGTGAAAGTACCAAAACACTGCAGGTGAGGTCACATCTAGTGTGGCCTCTGGACATAGTTGCCACTAAGCTGCACAATTGACTCCTACGTAGCTGATGATATAATGTGTGTCCTGAGACCTTACTTTGATCCCACTAGTGCCGCAGCATGGTATGAGGAGACCAGTTCAATTCTAGCCTCTTGAGAATAATTTTTATCACATTCACATTCACATTCCATGTCACTTATACTGTTCTGGTTTTCACACATTCATATGTATGTTGGATAGAAAAATTTGAAAGAACATAATGAAGTTTTCCTTAACCAGAAATATAGAGTAACTGTGTATGGTAAAGTTAAAAAAACACAAAATAAAATCAGCAGAGTTATAAAATATGTTATTATAAACTGTCATGGCCATCATAGTAAAATTCATATCATTGTTCATGAGATTTGGTCCAGAAATCAAACAATTATATTAGTTTGCTGACATTTCAGAGTTTTCTTTCTCCATGTCCTCTTCTAACCAAGCTGTGTTGAATTCAGCCCTGGAGGTGAAAGAATAAAACTCCCAAACATCAGCAAACTAATTGTTTGATTTGAAGACCAAATCTCATATATAATGATATGAAAAATATCTATTTGAAAATTATCTCTTTCAGAGGGAAAATCAACAAGCAACTCTTGGTTGGTGATGTTAAGTTATTTATAGATCTGGGTCATCATTTAGATTTTAAAATTTGAAGGTTGTAGGTTATAGTAGACAAACATCCTTAGTGCTTATTTATGGATTGAGATCACACTTATTACATTTAAATGAATTTTTAACAAGTTTTACAAGTTTCAATTTCATTTTGAATTTGCTTCAGAAAGGCAGTGCTTCAACAATGGTGCAATCTTGTTTTATTATGCATTACGCTGTCCATGGTGGAAGTAAAGTTCTTGTAAATTTAATGTTAAAGAGGCCAAATGGTTTATTTAGTTTCATTTAAAAGAAAACTTTTTAAGTTTTCCTATCTTCCTAGATTTACTTCCAAAATGAAATTCATTGAACTTCAACTGCATTCAATTTTGACATATAATCACTAGCTATTCTACCACAAAAGTCTTGTAATGAAAAATATTGTTCAATAAAACAAGGTGTCAATAATTTATTTGTTTTGTGCAGGTTTGTCCATTTCAATTCAGTTTCGCAAACCAGAAGTGATGATATTTTCTGATTTATCAGAATATAATGGACATGCTTTATTGCTGCGGACGGAATTCTTGGTGGATTACAGTCACCATCCAGGTCGTGACTCTTTGGTGTGTTCTTTGGCAAGTCTGCATGTAATGTCCAAACTACAGAAGGAAACCAAACATCAGCCTCACATGGTAAACCAAATATCTATTTCATTATTTTTTTCAAAGTTATATTAATCTTTGCACATGTGGCACACAACTAATTCATATACAATTTTTTTAAAATGGTTTCTATCAATGTAGTATTAATACTGGTACTAATAATGGTAAAAATAAGTTTAAAAATAAATTAATTTTAAACTTTATAATTTTGTAAATTTGCATGAATGATGTCAGAATATTGCAACTGCGAACAAAGAGAACCCACTGTGATATCTATAATCTCTTCTGTGGCATCCAAGTAAGTATTAGACTTGCAGGAATTGAATGAAACATTTATATTTGTCTTAGACTGCTTTTTTACAATATTAGCAATGATATTTGTTTATTACCAAACCTGTCAACTTCATCTTTCCATTAAGTGCACCCAGTAACAGTTTCTGCAAACTATTCATTTACATCAATTTTGCTTGTTGTTTTGAGATTTAAGTTGTTCAACTTTAAGATCTTACTAGAATGTACATTGAATTTCAAATTGATTGACAAAATGTTGTACATTACAATAAACATTAGTATGAATTTACAAAGTAATGTTTGTAATGGTGTTTCTAAATACATTGTTGGGGCTTTAAATGAGGATTTTTAAATATTTGATATGATAGTGAAGAAATTCTTCATAAGACATTTCGGGATCATGCTTTGGAGTTATTGTCATTTATGACACTGTATAGTACTTTAAAAATTTTTTCATTTATATATTTCATTAATATCAATTCAATATTTCAGGTACTACACCCTGTGATATTGAGTTTGTTAAGAGTTTCAAATCATCTGAAGAAGGAATGCGTATGACGTTGAATGTAACTCCTGTAGATATTCATCTATCTTCCAGCACTGTTAACACAATGTAATGTAAGTGAATATGAAGCATTATAATAATGTTCCAAAATACTGAAAAATCTTGCATCAATTTGTGTGTGCGAATTAAGAATGTATTGTGAACCTACATTTTTTGATGAACCTGAATGTAAATACTGCCTGCATTTAATTTCTAATTAATACTGCACTAAACTAACAGAAGATAGTTAATGATTTTCAATGGGTTCTAAGACATATAATTTTTTGTATTGCTATTTATGTAGTGGTCAGAAGCTACAAACTCTCTTCAGTGAGATACTGATATCTTCCAGGAATGGATATCATCCAACAGATACAGATGATTTGTGTCTCCTAGAAGAATTCAGCCATATCTTTTTCCTGATGTTTGTACTGGAGTAAAAGACCAGTAGTAATTAAAAAAATAAAACATAGATAATTGATACAAATTGAATTTATTTCAGGCATTTCAGTTTTTTGGGAATCGAGGTGTGATTTTGTGCTTCAATGAAAGAATATTAAGGTGTGGTAACCAGTCCTTGAATGTGACTAGTAGTGGTAATTTTTATCGAAACATCGATATTTCAGTACACCACCACTAGATTTTCAATGTCAATGAAAACATTGGCAAAAAATATTGATGTTTATAATAGCAATGTTTAAATATGATCAAACAGACAGTGTTTTCTCACTCTGTTTCCATTTTAATTATAGAACTTCAATGAGTTATATTTTATTGTTGGGTCATGACTAAATAAAATGTTAATAATAATGTTTCTTGCACATTAAGAAGGGAATAAAAAATAAAGGACATCATGTTTTGCTATTTTGCCATTTATTCATATTAATTCACAAATCATAGAAGTAAAATGTCCTGGAATTAATGTGATACATAATACATAAATATTAGTTTTAAGCATATTCTAATTTAAACTTGACCCATTTATCTCTCATAAAAGTTGTTTTCAAACTTGGATGTGCAAAAGTCTCTGTGTCATTGTCAAACACACACTTGAGTATGCCAATATTATTTAGTGTCCATATAATAAAAAATAAATCAAACTGCAAGAAAAAACACACAAAGTGCTGCCAAAAACCCCAAGAGAGTTATGACAACATGAATATCGAGAAGTGAAAAACTTTGAAACTATAGAGGCTGGAAGAGAGGAGAGAATGTTATGATATAACTTAAAATTTAAATTTTGGTGTTTTCTTCACATTTACAAATTTATGACAGTGAGAGTAGAAATACTATTTTTCAACAACATTGTATGTTTGCTTGTTTTTGTTTTTTTTACTTGATTGATAAAATACTTAAATTTTTCAAAGGGTCTTGTGCTATTGTACTTCATAAATGTGTTTTAAAATCAGGTTTAATTTTGGAAACATTCTTGTGGTGCTTGCAAACATGACAGGAAGTGTCAAAAATAATGTCAACACTGTACACACATCACTCTGAGTAAACTTGTTAATAATGAGCCATGTTCAATTTTTAATGAGTTCTTTAACAGATCTTAGTTTGTAAATTTGACTCTTAAACAAATGCACAAAGACAATTACTGAGACAACAAGTTATCTTCAAACATCTGCAGAGCATTGTGATTAATTATTTGTGCTTCATAAATTCCATCATCTGAAAGAGCCATCAAAACCTGTGGCTGAATCACTTCGAAAATTGCTACTATATTTTTTTATTCCAACGAACAGTCACTTGAACTGGTTAGTGTCATTATCTAGGCATCCTTAGTAAACATTAAGTTTGTATCTGTGTTTGCCTTTGGTGAATCATTTAGAAGATAGACAAAATGTCCTTTTCGCTTTCTTCATTCATTTATCGTTAAATTTCACTTCTACTTTCCACACTTTGAATAATTCTATTGCATCATTCTTCAAATCATTATACGATCAAATCATCGTATGATTCTGAGCAGTCTTCAGTACTTCATAACCTCCATCAAGTAAATTCTGTATCGTTTGCAAACCCAAATAGGACTTTGAAGGTATTTTGAAACAGTGTTAGTTGATGTTAGTATTTCGGAATCTAGTACATGGAAAACCAATTTAAAATTTTCCATTTCTTTTTTCAAATTACGGGCTTTACTTGTTTCTGACATTTTGTTAGAAAATATTTTTGTTAAAGCTTGCCAAATGATAAAATATCCAAATCTTATAGCTATTAAGGAATCTTTCTGTGATTATCTATTTTGTAAGACAAAGTAAGCTGAATACAATTGTAAATTCCACTTAAAACTGCTGCGCCATTGCTTCCTTGACTTCAAAACTTAGATAAATCAATGCCTTGTGTTTTTACGCCCTAAACAATATCAAAATACAAACCTTGTGCTGATTGATCTTCAACTTAATTAAATCATATGAAAGATTAATTAATTTTTATTTGAATCAGTTTACTGAATTCATTTTTCTCAATGGTAAAAAATTGTAAAATTGGATTTAAATGGTCAACTTTTGACAAGTTTTGATTTTTATGTCCATTATAATAGAAAAGAAAAACAGTGCTTCATTGATTTCTTCCATGATTTTTTCAGACACAGTTTTAGATAAAAGACCCTGTTTTGTTTTGAATTTCGATACTGAAATAGAATGTGGTTCCTGGACTCTTGGTGCCCCCAAACATGGTTCTGTCCTCCCTATGGAACTTTCACTGTGAAATTTAGAAACATCCTGATAACGTTTTTATTTTTGTTCAAACAAGGGGTTATTTGGAGAAAGAGTCATGAAGCTAATACACTTCCCTTCTACCGCTGATATTCATCTCCCCTCCAATTACAGAATCATTTCAAGTAATAGACATAGCCCCAGCAATTATAGGTTCATCTGAAACATCATTATCCTGTCTAAAAAGTGTGTATTTAATTCATAATTTATCATTTTATAAGTTTATGAGCTATTTTTTGTAAAATTTTTATAACATTCTATCTATGGCAAAACAAGGTTCTAATATTCAGTAATCTCCCCTACTGTATCACATTTTATATTCTGTCAAACTTCAACTAAAAAAGGGTTGGCAAAAATTGGTTTACTTTCAGATCATTAGATAACTATATCAGTTCATGAATAGAAATTTAAAAAAATTATATATTTAGAATTAAATTTCACTGCTTTTTAGGAAACTTTGTCTACAGTCATTCTACATACAATGAAGAAAGACCAAATGATGAGAACATGACAGTAATGATTCCAAAAATTAAAGTTATTTTTGAAATGGAAGATGGTCCCAGACGAATGCCTGTTCTTTTATTTAAGTCATGTTTGAATGCAAACATTCGGGATTGGTCAAGACAATTGCATGCAAAAGGTATTTATTTTTCAACAATGGATTTTATTTTACAATAAACTCTATAATTTACAATAAAGCTTTTAACTTCATTTAGCTAATTCCTGTTTTGACTTCCTCCTGACTTTCAAATTCTTTTTAGCTGACATACAACTCCAAGGAATTTATTTTAATGAGAAGACAGGAACATGGGAACCGTTCATTGAACCGATAGCAGAACAAGAAAATATTTATCGACCTTGGGAAGCAACTGTGAAGGTAAGGTCAGCCAGTATTTATTATATATTTATTTATTTATATACATATAATTAGCAGTCATTGCCCAATTATTAAATATCAATTTACATTACAGTATTATTGAAAATCAATTTAGCTAACAGTTTTATATAAGTTTTTTTTTAAATTGATAGGTGAACAAAATAAGTTAATGCGATTACAGGTGGCACTGTTCACACATTTTCATAATGACGCATAATAGTACAAGGTTTTCGTCAAAAGGAAATATTAAAAATATCTGTTGTAGAACGCAGATCATGCACTGGATTAGCCAAGGAATTTACAATGTAATTCTGAAGGAGTCTATTATCATGATTATCAATTATACAGAACAAGTACATAAAAAAATCCCTATGGAAGCGTAATGAGCTAATGATTCAATCTAGTTTGCAAACTTGAAATAATTGTGACTAAATCTAGGAGATGGAATATCAAAGCTGAAGGCAGCAAAAATAAAAAAATTTGTTCTGAACAGTTTCAAGTCTGAGATATAGGTTCTGTAAAGGGAGACCATATTGTGAGCCATATAATAATATCGGTCTTACTAGAGTTAAATATAAAGTTTTGATGGTTTGCACATTAGTAAGTTCAGATGCAATACGCCTCACAAATCCTAACATCTGATTTGATTTATTAATAAATATATTAAGGCTGAGGTTTACTATTTTAGAATAGTAATTGAAGAAAAACTGTTTTGTTATTGATTAAGCACATGACTTCAAAGGTTTTCAAAAAAAACTAAAAAAGAGATAATTAAAATTTATCTAATTTTGTAATTTTTTTTACTAATTGTAATTGCTTCAAATAATCTTCTGTGCTTGTATTGAAATAGAAAATATTTACTTATTCAAAAAATAGTTAGGTATTAATATTTAAAATGTCATGAGAGTTAGCTGCGCTATAACATGATGTAATAAATTTGAACTGAAATATTATATTAAATTTTATGATAATGCAAATCACTTTATTGCGATATAATAGTAATTGTTACCATGATAGATAGATGGATAGATAGATGTGTATGAATATGTTGGTGCTGACAAAGATAAAATAATTACATGTTCTTAAGAAATGTGTTCATGAAGTCATAGTTAACAAAATATTATCAAGAAATATTTCTTCTGATGTGAAAGTATATTTTGAATGACAATAAGTGGTTAAACAAACCATAATTATTTGGGAATGCTTTCAGATCTTTCATGCAAAAGCATTTCCTGTATCTGGTCAATTTGATCATGAGTTGACTACAGAGTGCGAAGGTAAGACTCATATCAAATATCATGCAGCTTCCATGGAGCAGAATAATGAAGAGTCAGAAACATCTGCTGATGAAACAGAAATGGAGGAAAATGGAATGACATTCATTCGTCATAAATATTTGGAATCTACTCAGCCACTGCAACGAAGCATTCATGGCAAGTATATTAAAATGCAGATGAGATATTCCCACATAGTTCACATTGTTTCAGAGATTAGAGAATGAAAGAGAATGTTGAGAAAATTAAGCTAATTTTATTATTGAACACATGATGGTGAAAATGTGCCAAGCAAATCATACAGGTATAATTCATAAGAATCCATCATCCATGCCAAGCATGCTGATTAATGATATTGTGGGACATTCTTGTAGATCCTAGAAATCTTATACACTAATTTTCTTTCTCCACTCTTTTCACTTTCCACTCAAGAAGTGTCAAGTTTAGTTGGTTATCCTGATGATTCTGACTCTGAAAATGAAGAAGGAATTCTCGAAAAACTAGCAAGTGCTGTTGGACATCTTTTCACAGGGTAAGAAATGAATACAGTAGTGTTATTTATAACAATTTTACAATGCAAATCTTTATCCATGTTGCTGATTATGAAAGGAAATAATATTATGTCTGAGATTTAGTTCCATTCTTATTTAAAATTTATGTATCTGTGTTAACAATATGGCAAAAGTTCTGCAATAAATTATTTCTCTACTTTGAGAATTAAACTATAAAACTAAGCTAAGAAAATTGCTTGGAAAATTTTTTAAACAAATAAACATTTTCAGTTTTTGAGAATCATAATTCAACATAATTTAAGACCATTCCTGAGACATTGCTTTAAAAACAAAAATATTTCATTACGAATTATGATACATGAGATGGTCATCTTTTGCAAATGTGGGAAATTGAAAATGTGTTCTCCGCTTATTGTTTTTATTTCATCACTATTTACCTTTAATCTTTTGTTTCCATGCATTAAATTTATTTGCATTAGAAAATATAATTTAGATAATTATTTATATTAATAAAAATATATTAAATGTTGATAATAATTATTACTTTTCATTTCTTAAATGTCTTTAATATTCATACACACTGTTTTTTATTGTGCATTATACTGAGTGATTATTCTACATTCACCATTTCCTTTGTACTGGTTTTAGAGATAGCAGTGATGGTGAAATCAGTGAGTCAGAAGAATCAAGTGGTGCAGAACCTTCTGCTGAGACAGAAGAGTCATCTGAAATGACTGCTAGTTGTAATAATACTATCATTGGACCAGAAGAAAGAACTGTGTTTTTAAAGAAACATGGTTAGTTTTTCATTAGAGCTGCTTAATATTGATGGGATATGAAAGTAGAAATGAATTCACTAGTGAATTAAATCTTTTGAAATATTTTTGATTGATGTTTATGCTATGCTATGGGGCCAAAAAATGAAATGTGCCCCCAAGAAGGTTTTGAGGTATTAATAAAACAAAGTTTATTGTTGTCTATGATTAGTGTTTTATAAAAATTTAACTTAAAGACATCTTAATTTTATTAAATCTATCTTTGAGGTTATTTGATCAAAAAAGACAAAGTGAATATTTGTTAGATGTTTTAGAGAATGATATGTAGTATGTCGGAATACAAGTACATACACCTAATAAGTACTATATGATGGGCCTTATTGGCAAATGGCAATTACCGTTATCTTCTCTCCAAAATTCTCAATTATACAGTTCAAGTTATATTTATAAATGAAACAATTTTTGTTATAAATTTGTTATGCTAAGAATACCAATTTATTTTCTAGTTTGTGTTGCTTTTAGTGTCTACTTCAATGCCTGTAATTTTTACTTCTCCACATCTTGTATCATGTTCCTTCTCATAAGATAACGGTCATAATTATCTATAATAAAGTGGAGAAATTATAAAGAACAAGCTGCTGATATCATCGTTCTTGTTAACAAGCCACAAAGTTTTAAATGTCGGAACCAGGAAAGCCTATGATCTTGTATAATGCCCTCTTGTTTTTTAAAGGGGATTTCATATGTTGGTTGTAACTTAGTATGTGATCTTCTCAATTTCTAGGTAAATACATTTTAATAAGATACCTGAAAACTACCGAATTCCCTGAAATTAGAAATATTTAATCCTTGGCAAGATTTCTTTTCATAACAAATTTTATCAAAGATAACTCTGTCAAACCCAATCATCCATGTTTGTGGAACTATTGCTTCTTTAAAGTTTTCTTCATTATTTCAATCCAGTGATCAGTGATGAAAATGAACTGCTACCTAACCTGTCCTTTTTCAATTAAAGCACGGTCTGAATCAAAGCACAATCACATAAGTCCTGTTGGGGGTATGGCA